TTGAAACGAGAAATGACATGACAGTTCGATTTAAGAAAAAAAATGATACCCATGTAGAAAAAAAATATAAAAATAATATAAAACGTCCAACTTAGACTAACTGTTTGGCTAAGAGTCAAAAATAATTGGAGGAATTGCGAATATTCGAGGATGGCATACTATCAAGATGGCAAAAGTAGTTATATTTTGAAAAGTCTATAGACTAGACAACAATACATACAAATGTTAATAACATGTGACTGACGGTAACGTAAGACTTGGAAAATCATTCGACTTTGTCAGGTGTTCGCTGCCTAAAAATTTGTAAGTTGTAGTGCAATAATTTAGTCTTATATGGTCACCAAATTACCCCCCCCCCCTCCCCCCTCCCCTTTTTTTTTTTTTTTTTTAAGTTTAACTGTCATGAGTGTTTTGACTAATTTATGTGTATTTCAATTAATCTGTTCTCCAGTTCGATCAAAAATAAGTCATTCACGCAGAGACTATAGTATTCATAAGAAATAAATTCCTCATAATCTAATCATAACCTAGCTCCAAGATATTATTAAAATTTAAACTTATAACATGTAAATTTACAGTTCGTTCATGTTACCGTAGCGACCGAATCACACCCTATCCAAGAAACAAACCCATAGGTGAACCATCACATTCACTAGGACGGGCATCTCAATTACCAATCTGTCCCATTAATAAATAAATATGTAACTTTATAAGAGGTTTTTATTTATTTACTCTTATTTCTAATTCCATTTCAACTCGAAAATGACTAATGCCCACTTTAAATAACTTGAACGAGGGTCCATAGATGAGATAAACAAATGAACAAGTTCAGAGTTGATAATTTTCAACACAACAGGCTATTATAATTTAGACTAGACACAAATTGACGGATACGAATTGTGTAAATTGCTAATTGTATCGCATTTAGGTTGATTCAATTTTAACATGTTAGCTTTTAGATGAAAAGGTCCGGTTGTCATCCATTCATAATTGTACTTTCGAGACTATCTTTTTAGGGTGAGGCTATTCTCACCTCACAAATCTCCGTTCTCATTCAATAAAATTATAAATCATAAAACTACTAAGTTCACCCTATTCTATATTCTTCCCATTAATAACAAAATTTAAATTAATCTTCACTTTTAAGGTTTTTTTCTATACTCATCTCACACATTCAATATACAAAATATACACAACTGGATTTTACTCTGGGTTTCTTTCATGCAAATTGTTTCAACTGTTGTTCCACCTCTATATTCTCTGATCTCATCGTTAAAATAATACTATGATTCCACTATACGCTTTTCTTTCTTCCTTTTTAAATTGTCGATTGAAAAAAATTTATAAATAAAAATATCTTCTTCACACGCAAATTCACAATGTATAGAAAGAAAACTCTTTGAGTCTTTGTTGGAGGTCGCATCTGAAACTAAATTTCTTAAAAAGGAAAAGAAAAAGAAAAAGATTATCAAGTCTCCCTCTTCAAATCACACAGTGTATACATAATTGTTTGTTTAGTTTTAATAGATACCCCAGATGAATATATTTTGTATAAATTATGTAAAATAGGATATATAATGTAACCCTAAAAATAAAAATTGAAATAAGTTTGATTATTAATAGAGTTGATATAGAATGAGGTGGACTTAATTATTAGTGGAGTGAATATAGATGAGATAAACTTAGTAGTTTTAGGATTTATAATTTAATGGGGTAAATTAAACAATATCAAAAATAGAAACAAAAGCTAAAATTAAGCAACCCCTCTCTCTCTCTCTCTCGGGTAAAAAATAAAAGTGAGTTAAAACGTTTCTCTTGGTAACATTGGCCCTCTCCCTCTTATTCTCTACCAAGTGCAACATATCTATCCTCTCTCGCATACACACACACATATAAAAAATTAAAATAAATTAATTTTAATAGTAAAAATGAAAAGACCTCATTTAATCTCACTGTTTTAAGACTCAAATTACTTTGAACCGCCAAGTCGGTGGGTCTTATCACTGATTCAATTATTCACCGTGATTGGGTCTCTGCTAGAAGGCTACCAATCAAGGCACTCTTTTCTCCTGTAGTTGAAATTTCCACTTGATTTCAAGGCATGTGTGGATAATACTAAATAGACATAATGTTTGTGGAAAAACGATTGCTAAATTGGTGGTATCTTAAATATCTAGTGGTTCAGTCATGAAATAACTTATCTTATTGAAATCTACTTCAATTAGTCACATCAGATTGATTTCGAAAATATAACACGAATTTAAATATGACACAATCAACTTTTACAAAGGTAGAAAATGAGTTAGTGTCGGCAACAAATAACTCGATCTATAACAACAATAAACTCGCTTAATTGTATTGGAAGGAAAGAAAATTTGCTTTTTATATTTTTTTTTGATATATTGAATGATTTCTTACATAATCTAATAATTTTTATTTCATTGTGGTTGGATATAGATCAAAGAGAATTTCAATTTATGAGAGATCTTCACATAGTGGATTTGATTGAGCCAAAAAATTGTTAAGTCTCGTAAATTCTCAGCTCACGGGTTACAATCAAATAACGAGAACACAAAATGAATTTGGTACAAATGTTGAAACAAGAAATGATAGGACAATTCAATTTACGAAAAAAATGATACCCATGTAGAAAAAAAATATAAAAAATAAAATAAAACGTCCAACTTAGACTAACTGTTTGGCTAAAAGTCAAAAATAATCGGAGGAATTGCGAATATTCGAGGATGACATACTATCAAGATGCTACAAGTAGTTACATTTGAAAAGTGTAAAGGCTAGACAATATACAAATGTTAATAACATGTGGGATCAGGTACCGAAATATTTCATTTCGGTACCGTAGTATCTCTGGGACTTGGAAAATCATGAGACTGACCGCATGGGTGCCAAAATTTGTATTTTTTCCTTTTTATTTTTTTCTTTTTTGTTAAACGGTCGAAGTTGTTCGAATTAATTTATGCACATTTCGATTATTCTTCTTTTTGGTTTGATCAAAAATATGTCATCTATGCAAGAATCAAGGTATCTGATGGCGTAAATCAATGTGGATGAGGTTAAGGTGCAAGTAACTTGAAATGAGCGTGGATCAGAACTACAAAGCTCGTGTATGATGCTACAATAAAATATTAAGGGGATTAAAAGGATGTACAGTAAAAATATAGTGATTCATCGGCTCAGAAGCTCGGCTAGTTCACTCTTCAATGGAGGTTCTTGCTCATTTTCTTCTCTATTGATTAGTTGAATGTAATACAAGGCAGTGTTAAACTGATTAGGGTTTTTATCCTTTTTTTCCTCTGCCTCACGATGAGGCGTTGCGTAGTTTTTATAAGGCTACCCCCTACTACGTGGGATTTCGGCCGAAATCTTTGCTCATTATTCATGGGATCCTCCTCAATTTTAAGAGAGAATCTTGGTTGGTTGAGAGTTTCATGCATGAGGCCCAATTCTCGTAGTCATCCAGCTATTTCTGGTTGATTCAGCTACGATCTCTCCAAAGAAAAACTCTACCCCTGTTCTCTGAGTTCCACGTGTTTTTCCTGACCTCCTGACTCGACCTCCTGACCTGACCTCACAGCTAGAGCTTGTTTGAGGTATCATCAATATTAATGATGAATAAATTTCTCATAACTAAAAGTGTCAAAATATGATATAAATACAATACGAAATTAGAGGGTTTGAATCCTCCTTAAACTACCGTTTTGTAAATGAATGAACCCGACATGACACAATTAATAGACAAATCAGGTATAAATAATGCTAATAAAAAAAAATACACGACACAAATTCAATATGACACAATTTATTAGACACAAATTAATAAACAAATCAAATATGAGTTAATTATTTTTTGATACGAACCCATTAAAAATCAACACAAATCGCTTCACCCGACACAAATGACATGATCTCATAACCTGCCCCAAAAACCGAACCCAATTATAGTGAACCATCATGGGTAAGGTCGGGCATCTCCATAACCAATCTGTCTCATTAATAAATATGTAACTAGATAAGAGGTTTTTATCTCTCTCTCTCTCTCTCTCTCTCTCTTTCCCCCTTATTTCTAGCTCCATTTCTACTTGAAAATGACTAATGCCCACTTTAAATGATTTGATGGAGGGTCCATATATAGATAAGATAAATAAATTGAACAAGTTTATTATTAATAATTTTCAACACAACAGGTTGATATAATTCAAACCAGACACAAATTAACCTATACGGGTTATACAAATTGTTAATTGTATCGTCTCTAGGTTGATCCAATTTGAACATGTTAGCTTTGAGATGAAAAGACCCTATTGTACATTTTTATAGACGTACATTTAACATATAAGCAAACTGTCGCTAAATCCTTGGGGTTGGTCCAGTGATCAAACTTATCCTCTTGCAAATAAGAGATCTCAGATTTGATACTTTTCACACTCTTTAAAGGTTATCCACCATTGTTCCTCAAAAGACATGTCCTTAAACTAACTCAAAAGTTACGGTGGCCGGCTTGAAGCTTGAGAGAGTAGTCGACACAAGCTTAATCATCCTGTGTAACAAAAGAAAAAAAAAATAGCAAACTGTCGTTACATATTTTTCCGGATCATCACACATTCTCCCAGGTATTTTCAATGAAACAACAACTCTAGAAGGATATGATAAGGGACCCTTGTTTTTAGCCAGCCAAAGGAGAAGTGTGGTTGTTACGACCCCAGACCTGCACTGCACCTAACGGAAAGACCCTAGTGATGAGGTCTGGCCAACCCATGGATCAAGGCAGCATCCCAGCAGCCGCCAATGTGCCTAAGGGGACTCGGACATGGAAGCCATAACCGGAGCTCATTATGTTTGCAATATCAGTACAATATTTCAACGCCTTGTCAAGGATACTAAACAATGCAACCTTAAGGGTCCGTTACCAAACGGTTTGGTTTTCAATAAAAGCAGTGTTCCAGTAACATATATACGTGAAAGCACAAAAGAAAGAGACATGCTTCACTAAATTCCTTATCCAATTAAGAACTCATGTTAACTGGTACAGTGATGTCTAATGACTCGTACAATGATACAATTTAGAAAATGGAATGCATAACTAATAAGCAGTTTAAGAAATATTAAAAGAACAGAGAAATCGGAATGTTGCCACTTCCTGAATAGCCATATCCACTCAAGTTGTACCTCATTACCAATCTGGTCATACTTGCCTGGCAACCAGTCATATCACGATATCATGATACAAAGGGAGAATCATGTCGTTTCTACAAGGACGATACAGTTTGGGAATTCCATACAGCTTTTCAGGGCTGAAAGTGTGCCACCCTTTCATCCCTCAGTGCAAGAACACAATTGTCGATCAGCTCTGTCAAGGATGTTCTGACCAAAGGATAGCAAACCCTCCGAAGTATGACTAGCCGAAGACAGTTTGAAAATAGATGAATGACCAAGTAGTAAACTGGAGATGTTATCTTTCAACTGTGGCAGATGCTCAATACAGGAGTGCAGCTGCCTGAGAAATACATTTTCATTCACAAAGATCTTGGGTAGGACCACATTACAAAATGGTGCATATCCACCACTCCCTCCTTTTTTGAGTTACTAGGCTTCCAGAAAAGCTCATCAAATCAAGGATTTCAGGATTATTTTTCTCTCTCAAACAACTGACTTCTCAAGCTTGTGACTATCTTATCCAAAACCACATTGTTTGCAGCCAGATAACTTTCTGCTTCCTGTTTACTATTCAAAACTTCCCCTTCTATGAAGTAGCTGCTTCCTTCTTTCAAAACTATTCCATGTCCACAAGCCAATTCCAAGACCTCGGATTCACAGCAAATGCCTCTACCAAAATGTATCCCTAGTTCAGCTTTCTTCATTGCAGGTGCTAGTTTATTTTTCACTACTTGCACACAAATCTCGAGACCAGTAATCTAGAAAAAAGACATAAGCAACCAATACTTTCTTCATAAGGACGTAACTGCAAGAAAGGGCAGCATGAAAAAAGTTGAACAAAAGAGAGAAAACCATGAAAGAAAATGAATGGACTTTGATTAGAATAAAGCAGGGAGAGGAGTCCGGCACGGGGAAAAATGAAAAAAATTCATCCAGGGGGTTACACATTGATCAGCTACAATTATCCTATTCTTAGTGTTTTCTCCCAAAAGATTGATGCATTCCCTGTTTTGTTGAAAATATGGATGTGTAGTTTGTCATTTAAAATATATGGATAAGAACCCTTCTATGTAATCAATTATTGAATTTGGATTTTGCAATACAGGGTTTCTTCCAGAGGAAGAAGCTTCTTCTCTCCCTTCCGTGGGGGAAGGGGAAAAAGAAAAGTTTGAGCAAGGAATTTAGTCATATCAATCCAAAAGGGTGAACATTGCAAGCAACCTCATATGATGAAGCTCCTTAAATTATTAGACCTTTAATGCCTCAACCAAATGGCAGGCCTGATTTTCCTCTTCCATAAATTGAGATCGCACAAAGCAGGAAGTAAATAATATGTTGTCATTTATTTTAGAAACTATAAAATTTCTCAATGATATTTGATAGGAAACCCCCTCCAAAACTTTGGTTCAAGCTTGCAAATTCATTTCTACTCGGCTGTATTGTTCCTTTCATCAAGATTGTGACACCAAAAAGGTCTAAACAAATACACAATCCAGGAACAATGAATGTGTTAAGCAAAAGAGAAGAATAGATACGAAGACAGAAAGCACAGTATGCAACCTAAAAGTGTGACAAGTCCCCTATTAGCCCGCGTGCTGAAAGAAAACTTCCTTTTTAGAGTTTCTCAATCCAAAGAGGTGGGGTGATTATTTTGTAATTGGTTAGACCTCAAATTTCATCCAAATTTTTTTCCTATTTTGTAGTAACTTCAGTCAGCTGAAAGTGAAACACAAGAAAAATCAGCATTAAGGAGGTAGGTATGTTGCTAATATCTCGCGAAAAGATAATCCAACTTGAAGGATATTTAAAGCTTGTGTATGTCCTTAGTGAAAATCATCATGCATATCTTACCTTATCGTTAGTCCTGAGCAATCCTTTTCTAACTATTTTCAATCGCACAGCAGCATAAAATCGCAAAGCATTTCCACCACAAGTTACCTCATCTGCATGTCCAAATCCTTGCCCTGATCTTAAATTTGCTCGCACCTGGATGACAGATAGACAAGCTAATAGCAAATGGTAGTTGTCCCAGAAGAAAAGACATGAAGTGTTTTAGTGAATAGACTCCAACCTGATTAACAAAAATAATAAGTGTCTCAGAGTTGCACAATGAACTATGAATTTTTCGTAGTGCTCGGTTCATTATTTGTGATTGCAAGTCTTCATTGGACGCACCTATAAGAGCATCAATTTCAAGTTGGGGAACGAGAGCAGCTACCTGCGAAAGTAATAAATGAAAAACAGTCAGAAAAAGCATTACATAGTAATTCTGAATGAAAGCAGTGCAAAAGCATAGAAGACTGAAGGTAAAAGTCCAGATGCATGAGCAATAATAGCGTCAATGATAAAAACTAACACAGAAGGTTAATGTAGAACAACAAAATCAAACCAAAATGAAGAACAAAAATGAGGAAAATGCATGACATAAACCAACTGCCTAGCCAAAACTTTTCGTGTTTATGTTTTTCCTTATTTTTTTTTTTATTTTTGTATTTTGATTGGGGACTATAACTTCAACTTTACAAGAAATAAATATAAAAACTAGAAGATAGAAAAGAATGCCAAATCAACTTCACATTTCGAATTGAAGCAGCTCTTTATTTTTAATTAAAAATTGTCATTCCCTTAAATGTAGCAATATACATTATAAACATATGTGCATAGAGAGAGAGAGGAACAAAGTCCGGTTGTTAAATGTTAGTTTAAGAGAGGGGAATCTTAGCTCAGTGGGAAGTTTAAAGTGGGAGGCAGTGGCAGCAGGAGACAAACTCCTACTCTCTACTTAATATATAACAATAGATGAGCACCAATGATGCTGACTAAACCTTATTCTTTCAATTGCTGTTCTGCTGAGTGAACGTACATGAAAGGAATTTCGTGAGATACGTGTTACAGGAAAGAAGATCAGCAATTTCATCAACCGACATGCCCATGCCAAATGGAATGGAGGTGTAGCGAAGATTTTTTTCCTCTTTTTAAACAAGAAGCCGGTAAGTAATATAGAAGTATTTGCTAGATGTCCCTTAATTTCATTTACTAGCTTTCTTTATGCATGACAAAAATGGGATTTGAACCCAAAAAGGTGTGTCAGATCCAGAAATGTAATAAAACACCCCAGCATTGATACTTGTTTTGTTGAGTTCATCTTACATTGTATGCATGTCAAATACCCAAACCCAAGCCAGTACCCCAATTACACAGTTTGGTGTGAAAGGCCTGCATGGAATTCATGAGACCCTTTGGCTTAGGATAAAAAAAAAAACCCAGTTTAACCCCAATAGTGGGGGGATCTGGGAGGGATAGGTTTCGTGCAGATCTAATATTTGGCATTGTTTACACAAACTGCCTGTCCTAAGGTTTGAACCCACAACCTCAAGATTATTGGGCCAAACTATAACCACTTAACCAGTGGCCCCATGTTTCAGGATATGCCACATAATCACAGCCCAAAAGTACACAGCAGCCTAGTATAGGGAGTATATGGCTGTCTTTAACTCCACCTGCGGGAGAATGGCAAAAGAGCCCACCGAATTGAAGTGCCCTCATGAAGACAGAGAGCACCACCTAGCTGGTCCAATTTAGCAGAGAAGCTCATTATAATGAGCTAAAGTACCCAACAGCAAATACAGTGATTGACCTACAATCTAAGTTATGACAAGTCTACAAAAGAACAGCCACAAATAGATAGTTGTTGCTGAGTTTTACTAAAACTCAAGGATGAATAAGATGACTTCAGGAATGAGTTAAAAAGAAAGAAAGAAAGCAAAAAAAAACTTAAAGATCATAAAAGAATCAGAAAGGGGAAAAAAATAGTACGAGTTAAAAAAAATAGAAAGGAAAAAAAACTTACGCTGTCAACCACAATTACATCTATAGATCCACTTCTTGTCAGAGTATCAACCACACTTAACAAATTTTCAGCAGAATCAGGCTGTGAGATAAGGAGATTTTCTGTGTTTATACCGATTGATTCAGCAAGAGAAGGGTTCATAGCATTCTCCACATCAAGATATGCACAACAACCTGCCAAAACATGAAAAGGTGATCAAATATGATAATTACCATTTAGGTCATATGGTAGCCCAAGAGTGGAAGGGAGATAAAACAATGGAACATCTCTTATTGACCACTACAAGAGACCATGATATCAGCATTCCCAATATAGGGCAAACTGCATCCGAACCAATATGATTTAGACTGATACATAACCGATCTGTTATCATTTGTAGAGAAGGTGTTTGGGGGATGCCGGGGAGGGGGCAAAGGGGGGCAAAATGCAGGTGCTGATAAAGGTATCGCATCTTGACTGTAGCACAATAGAATACATACTATTACATGATACAATACACAACTACTTATATGCTCTACATATAAGATTTACTGATAATATGATAACAATTCAAGTAAGAGAGCTACAAATAAGATTTACCGATAATAGAATAATGATTTTCTTATTTTATATAATCATATCTAACTATTTTATTAGAATTTTCAGCCACGTATCTGTGACTTTTCAAATCCATAGCCCATGTATAGCTAAGCAGTAGGAATGGACTAGATTAAATGTACCTCCAAGATTTTGAGCTTCCTTGATTATATGAAGGGCCAGTGTCGTCTTCCCTGATGCCTCTTGCCCATAAATTTCAATGATTCTTCCCTACAAAGAGCAATATAGATCTCTTATTAATGATGATGACAAACTCCTGAAAGCTCATATGTCATATTTATCATGTGAAGTATTAAGCTTCTGTCCTACAATAGCATAGAGATGTTGTCTAGATAGACAAATAGAACATTATCCATATCATGCAGTTCTCTAAAAGAATTAATGAACTTGTCCAGCTGAAAAGGGAAAAAGGAGTATATGAGGAATAGTATTGCAACTACGGGTTTCAACAGGCTCGGTGAGGAAAAGCATTGCTCAACAAGTCCATCATGTCAGTGATGTGATAATGACACCATGCATTTACAACAAATTTCTCAAAGTCGTCAATCATGTGGAAGACTTCTTGCAATCTTCTATACTTCATTTTGCCAAGTCCTAGAACACATTGATTTGAAGTTTGAAGTTGGTTGGACTGAAGTAGGCATTCAAAGAAATATAATTAACTGCCATGCTATAGGTCTAATTAAGGCCTTTAAACCACCCTGGTGCTTGCTAAGGTCGAATATCGTTCTGCTGAATCAAAATAGATGATTTTACCGTGCTGCCATCCAAGGATCCACCAAAGAAAAAAACAAAACTAGTAAGCCTTTTAGAATTGTCTTACTTGCAGCAAGAAGATTTGAATCTCCCTTCTTTATAAGATTATATTACCATACACTTCCAGGAAATTTTTTTTTTTATTCAGATAAGAGCACTTCAAGGCAAAGCAGAAACCTAAGGTAAACGATAGAGCAAAATATTGTGTGCTTATCTTGTTAACATAAGTATTTCTCTTCATCTTCAGAATATTGGTGTTTCTTGCTTTTAGGGGCATCTTGCCACTCCTCCTCTTATGCCACTGATTTTATTTTGTCAAGTACTGCCACTCATTTTCCTTTGAAAGGCACACATACAGCAAAAGAAAGATCCACAAATTCTTATACATTCCTAGAATGCACCATCCTACTGAAATTTAGAAAGTAAAATTGGTTTTGGCCACATCACAGCCAAAAATATACCACAAACCTAATGAGAATACAATGCATCAAGTGCTAGTATGACACCAAAGTTCCACTTTTAAGAAAAAGTCAGCACTAAAACTATAAAGTGGCAAGTATAAAATAGCTACAAATGGCTCTCTTTACATCAGAGCTAATTAAACTTGAGATAAAAAATAATAGATAAAAAGGATAAACCATTCAAACCCTAAACAGGGAAACAAAAGGTAAACATATCACAAATAGACATTATATGTAATTAAACAAGAGTTAAACATATTTCCATCTTATACTGCACTAAAAAGAAAATTGCAGATTTATCAAAGCCCTAAAGTCGTTAAGACAATGAATGGTGAAGCTCTAGTGTCTCGTGCAACTAATAGTGCAAATGAACAGCTATGAGAGGCAAAAAAGACCCAGGAATTAGTTTGTGCAGAGAGAGTGACACCCTTTGTGCCTGCTGTAGTGGCATTCATGAGATTGCCACGATGATCTACTACCCATTCCGTGTGTGAATGTGTAGAATAGTGGTAAATGGTGCTTATTGGTTATTAATGAAAATCCTTTGTTGCCGATCAAAGAAACTGTAACATGCTTTACACCACATAAAGTGGCACCAGGAGTGTTGCTTTCTCAGAAAATCACCTTTGGTAATCCTCCAATCCCAAGTGCTAAATCAAGCTTCAATGAGCCAGTAGATATTACGGGGGTACGTCGTGCACCAAAGAAGCGCTGTAAAGACAACATAGACTCTTTCCCAAAATCACCTGCGAGCCGTGAGAGAGCTAAGCGCAAAGCAGTATCTTTCTCCGTAGCTTTGGTATCATCATGGAGTTCATCACAATGAAATTCTGGGACCTCAACTGAAAACAAGAAAGCAATCAGATGGATTATTAAGCCATGTCGCTGTATAAGACCAAGCAAGACCCCTGTGGTCTGTGGATTACAGAACTTGTTGGATGGATTATTAAGCCAGAAGGATTTCAAACAAAAGATCTACAGTCAGTGCAAACACATGAACATCACTTCAATCTCAAATTCAGTTCCAAAATCATGAGCACATGAACATGTGATTTTCAAAATATACTATTTTGCATTGCATGGCCATGTGAAGTGGGACGTAATTTGTCTCAAGCAACCATGTGGGACAGATGCGACAGCATTATGTCACAATCTTATAGATTGTGATGCATAGAGTCCCACACAGACACGGATCTCAACTTTCAACTATTTCATGTTTGATTTTTTGAAAAAATGAAACACATTTCATTCACCCCATTTTGAATCCACCTCCGACTACATGTTTAATGTTTTATAAAGCTTACAATAAGCTAACCAATCTCTTAATGCATCTTTCATGTCTATCACTCCAAGGAAACAAACAACAAATCAGTTAATATGTGCAGACTACGACATGCCGATAGAATCCTACAATAGAAAATCAATGGCTACAATCATTATAAGAATAAAATTCCAATTACCTGCAGAAGACAGATAGCGGGCACGCCTCCCAGTACACATGACTGCAGTTCCACTCCCATTCTGTGAAATAAAGCACAACAGAGAATCATCCAATAAGAACAGTCCCATTACAATAGTCAATATTTATTGATTATGATTACAAAAAATATAAGTATTATCATATGAGCTTATAGTACTTGAATAAAATAGGTACTGAAGATTCTTATAATAACTCCTCCAAATTAATTCTATCATAAATCAATCATATTAGTAGGTCCGACATTAATTCGAAGTCAAACAACTAGAGTGAGTGGTATGAACAAGAGAGAGAGAGAGAGGGAGGGTTGTAGCTTTTCCAAAAACAGCAACTAAGAATGACTAAATTCATCAAACAAAATAGGAAAAAAAAATTGAAGCAATTTACAGTGAAGTATTCAAAAAATATATGGGGTTGGGTGTGTGTGTGGGAGTGACAGAAAAAGGGGGAGAGAAGAACCTGAAGTTCGGAGGAGGAAGACAGGAGGAGAGACAAGAGGCGAGAAGTAGCGAAGGCATTGTACCGAAGAGATTGAAAGAATTGAGGAGCGAAAGAGAACATTTTTGCTTGGATTTTGATCTAATCAAATTCAGGGTTTTTACAGATTTTGGGTTTTAGGGTTCTTCCAATGGGCTGTCTTTTTTATGGGTTTGGGCGAGTTTGAAAGGTGGGATTACTTAATTTTAGGGTTAATTGTAAGTTGCACCTCGAAAGATAGTTGGAATTTTAAATTGTACTCTCAAAAATTAAAATTTTGAATTTGTACCCTCAAAGATATAAATTTATATCAATGTGAACCCCTAAAGATAAAAATCTTAATTTGTACCCTCAAAAATAAAAATTTGTATCAATGTGCACCTAAAATTAAATTGATAAATTATATCTAAATCCCTTCATACTTGTTACTTAATTATTTGGACTCCTTCACATTTAGAATATTACTCATACATCTCATGACGTTTGTGCACATGTAACACGTAATCCTTTTCATTGATATCTGTTAATATAATCGTTAAAAAATATGATTTTATCCTAATAAAAAATTATAATTTCATATTACCCTTTATTTTGTGGGTTCGATATACTCAAAAGTTTAAAGTCAAACTTACTATTGGACATTATAATTTTTTATTATGATAAAATCATATTTTTTTAACGGTTATATTAACAGATATCAATGAAGGGGGGTTATGTGTTACGCGTGTACAAACATCATGAGATGTAGGAGTAATATTCTAAATATGAAGGGATTCAAATGATTAAGTGACAAGCATGAGGGGGTCTAGATATAATTTATCAATTTAGTTTTAAATGCACGTCGATACAAATTTCTATCTTTAAGGGTGTAAATTAAAATTTTTAATTTTTGAGGGTGCAATTTGAGATTTCAACTATCTTTGAGGGTGTAAATTACAATTAACCCTTAATTTTATGTTGGAGGGAATTGTACTTTGCACCCTATATTTTTTTAAGAATTTTGTTTTATATCTTCAAAGATTAAATTATTTACATGATACCTTTAATGTATCAAAAGTGTTGTAATATGAATATTCTGTTACTTTTTCGTTAAATTTTTCATCAGTGTCAATGAATTGACTTTTAGCCAAAAAAATAATAAAAATTAAAAGCATCTTCAACAATACTATCTAAAATAGCTACTCAAAATATATTTAAATATTGTATTATCTACTTTAACTAACTAATTTTTTAAATTCACTCCAACAACGCTATCTATTTTAGTTAACCACTTCAACTTATTTTTCCTAACTTTCAATAATAAAACTCAAAAAATAACAATCCAACTATACATTATACAAATTTAATCAATTATAGGCTACAAGAGAGAATCCACCTCCCAAAATTATTACTCCTAAATCAAATTCTCTCAAATTAAATCACAAAATTCAAAACAAAATTACCTCAAAACTTTTGAATTTGATCAAACTAAATGTCATCGTCTTTCCATTGATCGCCTTATTCAAACACTAGACCAACAACTTTTGAAGTAGTTAGGGAGAAGTGACTAGCTAGACGTAGCTAATAAAAATGGAATTATGGAAAATAGATAGGAGAATAACTAATTTGTTAGAGCCACATTTTAAGGAGAAACTATTTAAAATAGCTAAAAAAAAAAGGGGTTTTAGCTAGTTTTTTGGAATTGCTCTAATAGAAGGGTCACATTATAATATTTTTGATATTTGAGGATAAAATGAAAAAAAAATTAATTTTAAAAAATACAAAACTAAAATATTTTAAGGTAGAAAGTATAAAAAATATTTGATTAAGATTTTTAAACCCAGAATTCATATCCCAGCCCCCGCTAATTAAAACTATGAAATGGGATCCAACAAACCCATGGGATGGATTTGAAATTAACCGACCTATAATATAATAGTAAAATGACTTTTTTATACCTAATCTACTCAATTACAAAGATTAAATATAATAATTTAATCAATTACAAGACAAATGTTTAGTTATGGTTATAATTATAATTATGCTTAATTCGTGAATCCCATATGCATATGTACTACTTACCAAATACATGTATGAATGTATGAATATGATTCTCGTATGAATCTCATGTGTACAAAGATAGAAGATTGAATTTGGTAAAACCAGTCAAATTTCCCCACCCAATATCATCCAACACTTGCCCTCAAAAGGGTTACCATGGAGAAAGCCTGAAGCTAAATTTTGAAACCCGGGCTAGGAACTGGCCTTGTGCACAGGAGCTGGCCTGTTAGCTGAATATTTAAGCTGGCCCGGACCTTGGCGCAGCCCTAGTTGAGAATGGTATGCGGATCAAAATGTTCAGTGGCAGCAAATGAATATGCTTACTTCGGCTACAGAACTCTGGACAATGAGACACTGTCTGATTACAAAACCCATTAAGCCTATGAAAAATGCTATGCTTACAAAATTTATTTATTAATTCTTTTATCTCAAATGATGTGGCAGAATCTCTATCATTGAATATTAAATAGGACCCACTTATCTGATGCTGAAAAATTGTGCCACATCATTTGATAAAAAAATTTGGTAAGTATAACGTTACCTCCGATGACCACTTGATTGCTAACAAGGTAATAGCAGGGCAGATCAGTAGGAGGGGGGGTCCTAATTTTGAAAGCACCACCAACAGCAATGATGCAACCAACCCGGGAATTGATCTCTTTAAAATGGGATGAGACTGTCTATCACTTATCTTTCTCATATCTCACCACAGACCACTATAACCATTGGATATGACATGCCAACAAGTGCAATGACACGGTACCAAGTGTAACCGGTGAAAGGAGACTTGCATAGTGTTACTACTCCCAAATATTAGCCATATGGGCCTCCATGTAACTGAAAAAATATGGCCCAAGAGGTGGTGCTTGGTCCAATTTTTAAAAGGGATTTTTGTAGGTTGGTATACAACATAAGACTCAATTGTGTAAAAATTCTTCGGGTAAAACTAATTATAAAGAGATCCTTATTTTTTGTAAATGCCAAATATACCCATAAGTAAAAATCAACCGACGCAACTACATCGTTTGGAAACTGCTGGAACTCAAGCTGCATACTCATAAAATCCGGTCACTACGATTTCCCGCAAAATTTGGTGTTTGAAATTCAAACAAATATGTCATAAAATTCATGAGATTTCAACCAAATCAAAACATGAACTCCCAAAATTTATGAGAACCAAAAAATTCTTCGATTGTGTATTAATTGTAAATACAGTGAAACACCATTGAAATCCGACCATTGACCTTTTCAATTGTGGTCACTGATAATGTCCAAGTAACAAAATATGAATTGATAAAATTATGTCACCACATGTGTGTGAATAAAATGACTATGTGTTAGACACACAATGATTCATATGAATCAGTGTGACACGACAGTGATACATCATACTGTAACAACTTAATTAACACTTTAATTACTGACAAAAGATATGCAATTATTTTTTTTATTACTTTGTGCCTTCAGGCACGGGTACTAATTATTTTTTTAAAAAAAAAATTTAGAAAGGGGGATTTGAACCCTTGACATCAAGAAGACAAAGTCTTTATAAGACAAAGAGTACCATTAGACCAAAGACCCATTGATAAAAGATATGCAATTACATTCCATGATTTATACACAATTTAAATAATATGCATTACATAGTGTGACATCATTTTGTTATAAGTATATCATTTTACCCATACTATAAAAACCGTGAAATGTAATTGGATTTTTTTTTTCACAATGTGACAAATACAATAGTGTCTATTGTGTTGTTACACTATGATGTAACATTGTCATTCCTTAAAAGTAATATATGTGTGTTTTGTTGGACTATAGATGTCACATTGTGATGTTGCACTATGGAACAAAAACTTGTCGTCCTAGATTATTGTGATTTTCCCAAAACTATTTTTTTTTTCCGAAACGACGAATGAAATATGCAATTTGTTGGTGAATTCAAATTTCAAATCCTTTACTGAAATAGTGCAAACTTTAGTCGCTTTTGGTGGAGACTTGATCACCGTTGTATTCACTATAATAGAAAATACAAACATGTGAGGAGATTTTCTCTCATCAAACAAGATAATTAATGAAAATAATTTCAGTTAATTAATAGAGAGATTTTAGGCCAAAATGTACAACTAATAGAGGGGAAGAGAATTGTAGATAGATTCAATTCCATACAAACATAAGGAAGAGACATTATAGCTATGTGGGAGAGATTTTACAAAGAGGAATCAACAATAGCGTTAAGGTAAAAAACTATGATATACTTTTAAAATTCAAATATACTGATCTTCTAAAATAGAAAACTGTTTAATATTTACTGCTATTTAAAACCAAGGGTAGGCACTTTTCAAATTTCATTTGCTCTATTAGAACAAAAAATTCTCAAAATGTTTACATAAACTCTAGAAAGTTTATCGTGATAATATTGGCGTTGGGAACCTATGATTTTAATCTTTTTGATGAATTTTTTTTGGTAATTTTTGTCCCTTCATGTTATAAAAAAAAAACTCCTTTGGGTTAGATTCTTATAGTTGGTGTTTGTTACCAATGAAGCCTAGAATTGGAGATCTCTAGTCTACTTTTGGTATGTCTTATCATGTTCAATCTCCACTAATTAGTGTACTTGAGTCACATAGTGTTAGAAGTTGAAAACAAACCCTTCAACTTACATTGAATCTTCTTGCTTTCACGAGTGATATAAACCTAACTCTTCTTGCTTTCATGAGTGATGTAAACCTAACTGAGCAATTCATTGCATTCTTTAACTTATAAAGTTGAGTTTCTTATGTCCTCTTACTGGTGGAGATCGGTCATGGGTTCAAAACTCAATTTGGCCGTTAAAGAATCAAATTGATCAGATGAAGCTTGATCCAAACCTAGTATTTAGTGAAAGAAAATATTTCACAAATGAAGTTTTCAGCAAGAATTATCATACAAAATGACATGACAATGATAGTTCTGATGACTGGTTCTCTATTTTGAAATATAAAATGTTGGTCGATAACATCATTCAATACTGGGAGTTCTGTATATGAAATTTTCATTTGTGTAGAGTTATTACTTTGGTATATTAAGAGTTTTATCTCGAGGCCAAATTAATATTAAATTAAATCAATTTATTATTTAA